TAATGATGAAAAGGAAATTGTTGGGGTGATCCAGGGAGGAGTAATTTGGAACACATACTTTGAATCCATCTTGCCCGAAGGAACCAAGAACATCACTGTTATTCTTGAGAATCAGTGCAACCAGACCTTCACCTATAATGTTGGTGGTGAGACTGGAGAATTCCAAGGGTTAGAAGACTTGCATGACCCCAAGTACGACTACCTTGAGTTGGGCAGCAACATCAACGATGTCATTGGAATTGATCGAGATCAGTTCACTGTGACTCGCGGAAACTGTGATTACAGCATTCGTGTCTACCCATCCAATGAGTTCGAGGAGTCCTACTACACCAACAGACCCACCACTTATGCCCTGGCCTTGGCCTTTGTGTTCATCTTCACATGCTCTGTCTTCCTCCTCTATGATCGCATGGTGGAACTCCGACAAAGGAAGGTTATGAAGTCAGCCTTACAATCGGGAAAGTTAGTTTCTTCCTTGTTTCCCGAAGAGGTACGTGTGGACAGTTAAGCAGCACAGGACGGCCTTTGTCCTCCCTCTCAACTGGACATTCATGGTCCATGCGCCTCTTTTGCAACTTTCTATTGCAGGTTCGAAACCGTCTCTTCGAAGAAGAAGAGGCCAAGAAGAATGCTGATCAACGTGGCTGGAAAAAGCAACCGTCTGATGATGACCTTGCAGATCTTCCTTCGGTTGCTGCAAAACAGTCCCATGCCATTGCCTCTCTCTATCCTGAAACAACAATCTTCTTTGCTGGTAAGACTATTGTGAGGCCCAGACGCTAGGGATTGTGGCAATTTCTAACACCTAGTTTCTTCTTGCGTCCCCTGTTACAGACCTTGCTGGTAGGTGATGGTGACAAGTAGACATGTATCCCAGAGCTCACTTGAATCTCCACTAATGCCAATGGTGTTTTCCCATGCTGTTGCATCTGCAGGGTTTACAAAATGGTCTTCATCTCGTACTCCCATTGAGGTGTTCGACCTGTTGGAGACGGTGTACGGCGAATTTGACAAATTGGCCAAGCGATACAAAGTCTTCAAAGGTACATCACAGTAGCGCTGTTGCCAAGGTGGATGCTTGTGTGAGAAATCATCTGATCCTTCCTCTTTTGCTGTTGGCTGTGTAGTCGAGACAATTGGGTAAGTTTAGGAATTTGTGAGGACAGCCGTACCTCTCCTTGACCTAATCATCACCTGGGCTCTTGTAACTCCCAAAGTGATTGCTATGTGGCTGTCACTGGTAAGTCCTAGGGGACAGGTAGAAGATGCCTTGTGATGAACAATGTTTCCCACATTCTCAACCCCCGCCCTTGTTCCACAGGTCTTCCCAAGCCTCAAGAAGATCATGCGTTGTGAGTAATTTGAAACAGAAGTTCATAGCTTACTCAAGTGGAAGCAGTATTGGAATCAGAGTGTTGAATCTTCTCATTTTCTGCTGCCTGTCTCAATCCATGGTACTTGTTACACAGGCTGATGTGCAAGTTTGCCCGCTCGTGCATGGCTAAGTTCCAGCTTGTGACGGTAGATCTCTCGGATACGCTAGGCGAGGACACCAAATTATTGGAAATGAGAGTTGGTCTCCATAGGTAAGAGTGCTGGTATCTTCGCTCTGGGTTGCCGGGGGATGCAGCTCATCTTGACTCTTTGCTCTTACAGTGGTCCTGTTACGGCCGGGGTACTCCGTGGAGACAAAGGTCGATTCCAGGTAAGATGGATTGGTGCATTCTCTAGTCAGCCTATATTGGGTTTCTCTTAACTAATCAGTTGCTACATGACTCTACAGTTGTTTGGCGATAGTGTCAACACTGCCAGTCGAATGGAGAGCAATGGGGTGAAGGGAAAGATCCATTGCAGTGAAGCTACCGCTGAGGCTTTGCGCAAAGCACGAAAACAAAACTGGCTGGTTCCCAGAGAAGATAAGATTGTGGCAAAAGGCAAAGGTGAAATGTAAGACATAAGATGGTTGGAAAGATCCAACGAAGGCTATTTTGTTTTGATCCTCATGTGCTGCTTGATTCTGTCTCTTCCCATGAAACAGGCAAACATACTGGGTTGAAATGTCTGGGCTAGCAGCAACAAGTACATCCGGTTCTGTGCTGTCCGGGATTCATTCCATCGAGACCCCAGAACAAAGCACATCGGCACCATCGTCTCATGCTTCCATGCCGCTTCGAAACAATCCCAACCATCAGCAGGATCTAGAGGGAAGCAAAAGTGGCATTGAATGCTAGAACTTCCCGTGGCATCTCCTTTTGAAAACTATTCCAACTGGGACGGGCGCCAGAGCCTCACTTGCGTGTGAAAGTACGGTACAATACTAGTGGTAGGCTTCATAAGGCTACAAGCTTACAGTACCGGTACAGTTGGCCAAGAATGCAATGATCGTTATCTTTTAATTTTAAAATGCACATCGTCACGATTCGACCCCCCCCCCCCCATGAATTCGTGCTGGAGCACTTGGAACCCCAGAATTGGCTAGTACCTTCAGCGGTAACTCGCCACCATGACGTGCTGCTGAGGCTGGTTTCATTGTTCCTCCAATATCGCCCATGCTAAGAAGCCGCCGCCGAACGAGTTTCATTTTGCGGCATCGGCGTGAGTTCACTACATGTAACGCGCTTGAGGACCCATTGCCACGGGAAAAGATCCCGCAGTGCGTGGTCTCCCATAGAGCGAGTTTCGTCGACCCTTTCGGTCGGGAGCTCTTGGTAAAAGCAAACTCCCTACCCAGAGTCCACTAACGAGGACATCAGAACAGCAAGCAATCTACTGCCGACGGCAACCACATCGAAATTCTTCGCTTCGGTTAGACTAGATCCACATTATCGCTTCGGGAGCAAAAGGGTCGCCCTCGAGCAGTTGTGGCCATGTTCCTCCTGTTCGCTCTCGCCTCAACTACCTGGTACCTGGTAGCTGGCTTCCCAGCGGCCATACTAGTCTAGTAGTGTCCCAAAGCCCAGCCACTCTCGTTCTTCGACTGCAGGCCTTCTTTTCTTTGTAAGAGACATGTGCCGTGGATGCTCCTTTCTCCTAAGTAGTTAAGTACAGTTGCCTGCAGCAGGAAAGGAACGACGTGCGCTTCTCGGGGTGTCAGGAAGTCAGGACACAGGACACACTGACTGGCAGCTGGCAGCCCGATCAGATTCGCCGTCGATGACTTGCAGCTTGGGCTCGCTCGTCGGAGCAGCTGATGAGAACACATTGAGTTTTTGATTTGATTTCTTTTAGCAGTGAACCTACTGCACTACGCTAAAAGCTAGTGTAAAGATCTTTCGAGTGTTTTGAGTTTGAGAGAATGAAAGTTATGAGAGGATTAGAAAGCTATGAAAACTAATCAACGAGAGAGATCACAATCAAGGGATCGTAGATCTGAACTCCCGCGGGAGACTGTAAAGTGTGATAGAGTAGGTTGTGGTAGTAATCCTACTCGTTCCACGATCCAAAAACGGAACGTGTGGAAGATTCGTCTAGCATTTATCTAGTAGCGTGGAATCTCTCCACGCCAGCTAAATATCTAGCGCGATGTTTCACCATCGACCTAGTATGACTAGCGGTCATGAGAACCCTGTCTCAATGACTATTCACGAGAGACTCAGTCATGAGTCGAACTCAAACCCTATCTAGGATCAAGTCGCGAATAAGGCTAAGAGCCGTGTATTGCATTCGCCCCCTGACAAGGGTCACAAAAGGCACGACATCAGTCGGACAAGGAGAACATATGATTTAAAGTGCGGGGCACTCTCATGAGATTGGATGTAGACATGTGCGTCGCACGATGGCAATCCTACAAGGGGATCAGGCCTTGTATGGGTGTATATACCTTATGTTCCAGGTCTGTTAGACTGTGCCGCGGTGGTTTGGGTAGCATGTTGGATCCTTACAGTGCCATTGTCATTGACTCGGGTTATAGTGTAAGGACCTTTTGTACTTTGGCTGACCGTACTTGCTTTGGTGCTGATACTGTTGAATCATCACTGTATTGTTGACATTGTAGTTGATGGGGGACACGCGTCGCTTTCTCCCTATCGTGTTTTTCGAGATGAGTCGTTGGCGACGTTCTTGATGTTACTTCAGTTTTTGCTTCGAAAACGGACGTTGTGAATAGAGTCACGATTGAACACGAGATGCTGTGCGGGCGTTTCGCGCAAGGTGGTATGAACCGTGGCGTTCATTGCGAAGCGAACCGACGTGAGGACTCCATCCCAGGATCCGTTCACGAGTTCGTCTTGGCACTTTATGTTTTTAACAGCGATCAACTTGCGTCATGGTCTGATGAGCATCGTCGCCATGGGAGTTGGCTTGAGGTGTGCGCGTGGTGATGAACTTGCGAAGAAGTACATATTCATCCCAGAGAGTCTTCTAGACCTCTACGCGGGAATCACGTTATCTGTCCATGACAACCTCAGCAGGCCATGGATACCGAGTAAGCCCAGTTTGTTCTAGGACGATGACTACTTCGTCTGCTGCCTTTGAGCAGATCTCTGCAATATCGAAACATCCGGTTACGGGATCATCATTGTCAAGCAATGAAAAGGACAGGGATTCCTTTTCTTGGATCCCGACGTTGTATGGACCTATCAGGTTAATGCATAGTCTTTCCCAGGGATTTCCTCGCACGTCTTTGGATGCATCAATCCCACCTTACGCGTCTTTGGTTTTTTCATCTGGCAGCTCTGCAACGATGACATATGGCCTGCACAGTCTTGCGTAGTCCTTTCCAGGTGTCGTTTTGGCTGATTGTTAGTTCTGGGCGAGTCTCACCAGGATGCTTCAGTACACCATGGTACCAATCGACTAGCTTCTTCTGCATAGTCTTAAGTACGACGATCTTATCGTCCTTAACTACTAAGTCTAAGACTTATTCCCTCTGGTGAAAGATTGCTTCTTGTAGTCGTTTGGCTTGTCCTGGAGGAGTTTTCTTGATATCGTTGTCGGTTTTCTGACGATGTTCGATATCAGGGAACGAGAGAGGAACTCGCTAGGGAAGTCCTGTTCGTCTGCAGGCATGAGCTCAGCGATCTCGCGGGCGTCCATTTGTTTTGAAGAACCGTCGTTGTTGGAGGATGGATTAAGTTCTCGACAACGTATCAGCTACGATGTTCTGTTCGCCTTGATGTA